CGCCGGCAAGAAGAAGCTCTATTCGTAGACTGTGAGCCATTGTTCCTGTCATATCCTAAACTTGGTTAGTCTTCTGAACCCTTGCAGAGTTGGCGAATAAAGATATACATTTAGCTATGGTAAGCCCTTTCAGACGTTGTCCCACATCACCCTCAACTAATCGCGCATCTTCTTTGCGCAATGTCAGACCTTGGGGTACATCACCGATCGAATGACTGCTGCGATCCTTACCTTACCCGAATCCACATGGCCGCTGCAGAAAAAGACTCGCGCGGTTCGGGCGTTTCACAAGATTGGTTGGATCCATAACGATCTCTTGGCTAGGCATCATGTGAGCCTGAAAAGTTCTTCCTTCAATCTACATTTGTGAAATCGATGATGAATGAAAAATTAATCAAATCTTTATACATATCCAGACGGAAGAAGCTTACGCGGGTAGCACATTTAGCAGCCCGCGCTGTTCATCTCCTGCGGTTTTCGCAGCACCTGAACACAGCACTCCACCGACGAATCCCATTGTTTCAGGTTCAGGCTGCTGTCCTATGCAGGAAGATAGCCTTGAAGCCGAACCTCCGATTCCAGTTGCTAATGGGACCATAGGAAGCTGCTTTTCAAACTACCGCGCGGACTCTGGCTGGAATAGCGATGTCCTATCTGGACACTCAAACTACCCTAATCCATGCGAACCTCCGACTGCCAGGCTGATGGACAGTGATTCGCACTCCCCACAGTACAGTGGCCTTGGGTTTGAACGAACTTATTCAGGCAATGAAACCGACCACCTTCAAATGCATTCAAAGGGTGATTACTCGACCTGATCCGATCGCTGTGATTCTTGATCAACATATAGCTGACTTTGCTTCGCTTTCACCGTAAATCTCGACGTCTTAATTGCGCATTCGATCAACACCCGCAGCTTCTACACCCCCCAAATCAGCCACAAAGCGAAACATGTTGAAGATACGGGCAGCATCAAAACTTTTTTCTAGTTCTTGATCATTGTATAGCTTTTACTATAGGACTCACGTGAGTACGGATCTAATGAGACCATTCATAAAACCCACTCGTCAGCCCTGACCATTGACATTTGACTTCCATGTTCCCATGTGCGCAATATTAATATCAGAAGTGCTTCAGAACCCATTTATTGTATCGGCTTGAACTCATTAAGCGCTTACATGAAACGATCTCATCTATCTCATCGAATTTGTTCATATCACATCTCTCTTCTGATCGTGTCACATAGATCATTAAACAATTATCCATCTCTTTTTACAATCAATGACTCTAGGAAGATGACCATCTGGTATATAAATCGGTTGTGTTTGATCTCAATTCACTTTGAAAAGACAGTCTTAATCACAAGAGTCATCACATCCACATCTTCAGAATTTGATACATGACCCGCCATGTGTCACCCTACCCAGACAGTTTCTCGCTGGCTATAAGAAATTCGTTGATGAATGTGCTTAGCCTTGAAATTCAGACTTAAACTGCCCTAATCCGGTTGGTGTTACAAAAATATGAAATGCTTGAAATGCAATGGTTTTTTTTAAGTTCTATCTTGAATGTCTTGATCATTCTCAAAAGGTAAATGCCAAATAGGCTTATGTAGTACTCATGAACGTTGGGCAGAGTTGTAAGATGCGAACTGACACCTTGATCAAATCAAGATTGCTCATAGGAAGACTACATAGACGAAAACATGTGACATTGACAAATTCCATCGATTCAGAACAATCAGAGTAGTTAAAATTTTCAGAGAAACTACCAAAGTTGGGACAATATTGTCATAGAGTCACTCAGTTTACAAATCAGCTGGGGTACAAAAAACAAATCAATGCAATGATGGCTAAGAGAAGGAGAAAGCAAGATAACTTCAAACTTTGATCAGGGGAATGCGTAGAAAAGTCTTCTACAGGAAAGAAATCCTTGCATTTCATTGTTATAATAAGGTGTACATTTACCTCCACCTAAAGCCCTCCGGAAGTTGCCACGTGTGATTCTCCGATATCCTTATTAGTTGTCTTTTCCTTTGTTCTCCAAGTCGCGCTTTTAGAGCGCTTTTCTACTTTTCTCTTTTCTTTTGTTTCTGTTATGTTCAATAGAGGATCGGTGCGGTGATTCTACTGAGAAGCTGCTTGGTGTTCATTCCTGGAGCAAGGAGAGGACGCCTTATATAGGCGTCCGTCTCTACAAAGTACTAATAAGGAAAATGGGAAGGGAATGACAACATGATAGTCGGTGAGATCTAACTATGGCCGGATCCGATGTGAGAGGATCCGGTCTACAACAGTGGGAGGACAAATCCGGCGAGGATTTGTCAAAGGAGGACATTTGGAAAAGCGCACAAATGTCTTCAAAAGCGTATTACAAAAAAGAGAGAGGAGACAAAGGGAAACAAAAGAAACGGGGTATCACATCACCCCCTTTTTAAGATTGAAAACTTCCTAGTTTTCTTTATTGCTCTCTCCGTGTTCGAGCTCGTCTTTAACTACCTCTAATGCGCCACTTATGTAATAGTATAAGGCACCTAAAGCTCTTGCGGAGAATTTTCTGAGATCTTTATTTGATTCTTCTTCATGTAATTTGTTATGCAGTCTTATTGCCAAGTCGACGAGATGTTCCTCCTTCTGAGCTAACATCTCTTCTTGTTCCGGGTCGGCGTTTGTGTTATCTTCTTCTGGCAAGTTCGTCGCGTTTGTGGAGTTCGCGAGAGGCGTAGAAGAATTCATCAGACTTTCCTTTATACAATTTTAGGCGCACACCATTTACTTTAGCATTCAGAGTGTGTCCATTAGATGTCATTAAAGTATACGTACCGTTGGGGTAGCAATCTCCAACAATAAAAGGTCCATCCCACTTGGGATGGAGTTTAGAAGGTCGTCCTTCAAAGCTTCGGAGGACCCTGTCTCCAGTCCTGATGTTTCGTTCGACGTATGCTTCTTCTGTCTGTGTGTTTCTAAGTGAGGCTCTGGCGTTAAGCTCTTTGATAAGGTCAGCCCTAGTTTTTGCATGTCTTCGAACATCTAGGTTACGTTGTCGGTGTATCAGTTCTAGATTCTCAATCGAATCATTGTATTTAATGCTTACTTTCTCGGATGGTAATCGAGCATCATTTCCATACACCATAAAGTAAGGAGACGCCTTCATTGAGTGTGAGTAGGCCGCTCTGTAAGCAAACAGGCAAGAATTTATGTATTTGTTCCAAGAGTCTTGATTATACGGGCTACATAATTTGCGGAGCGTGTTGACAAAGGTTCCATGGAACCTTTCGATCAGACCGTTGGCTTGAGGGTGGTAAGCGGTCGTTGTGACATGTCTTATACCTTGTTCTAGCATATATTCTTTGAATTCCCTTGAAATGAATTCGGATCCGTTGTCAGTTGTGATTTCGACCGGTAATCCGTGATTCAGAATCATTTCTTTGATCAACTCTATGGCGCCACTTGCTGACGTTCTTTTCAAAGGTTTAGCGTATGCCCACCCCGTTCCGTAGTCTATCGAAGTGACTAGATACTGGTATCTGTCAGCGGTTTTGATTAGTGGCCCTACGAAGTCCATTCCCCACTTACGGAAAGGTTCTCCCCTAGTGATCATCTGAATAGGGAGTTGTTGTTGTTTCGTTGGGGCAGCGTGTACTTGGCAGGCTGCGCAAAGTGCTATCGAGTTGCGAACAGTTTGGTTCAAATTAGGGAACCAGTAGCGTTTCTTGACCGCTGCTAGTACGTCTTCGACGTTTCGATGGCCCAAGTCTTCATGGATTTGGAAGGCGAGTGATTCGGCTTCGCCCTCGTTAGTCGCAACAATTTGGGGTACTGTAGTCAAGTCCTCATCTTCATATAAGACCAACTGGTTGTGGATTAGACGGAACAGTCCGTTTCCAACGGTGGCTGGGTCGATGCCAGCCTCCAGTTTGAGTCTATATTCTACCAGCGTTCTATAAGGATCATTGTGTTCACTGATATTAAACAATGGTTGGGCCACTTCTGGAGGGTCAATGTCGAATTCGGTATTTGGTTTTCGGGACAGGGAATCAGCTGCCAATTGCTCTTTGCCAGGTCGGTATATTATGTGAGTGTCGAAGAATTCTATTTCGTCTACGAACCAGGCCAGTCTTCGGTTAATAAACTTCTGTGTCTTGAAGTGTTTTAGTGACTCGTGGTCTGTCCTAACCAAGACTGGCGAACCTTCTATATATCCACGGAAGTGTTTAAGTCCATGTACGATTGCAAGGAGTTCTCGTTCCTGTGCCGAGTAGTTCTGTTTGGTTTTAGATAATTTCCTGGACTCAAAAGCTATTGGACGCAAGTTATTATTCCTTAGGCTTTTTTGATATTGAGTGTAATCAAAGTTGCCTGTCTTGGGAACCTCGGTTTGTTTGTCTTGTTGTAATACCGCGCCGATCTTAGTTCCTGACGCGTCGGTGTCGAGGACGAACGGGCGAACGGGCGAAATGGAGTTGGGTGTTGGAGTGGTACTGATTTTGATAGTGCCTCTTTCAGGGTATCGAAGGCTGATTGTTGCGCTTCCCCCCAAACAATCGAAGACCCCGGCTTCGGGGAACCTTCGGTGAGCTTGTAGATTGGCGAGGCGATCGAAGAGAAGCCTTTGATAAACCTCTTGTAGTAAGTACAGAGGTTCAGAAAACCTCTAACCTTTGAGATATTATCTGGGCGTGGCCATTCCATAATCTTGTTGATTTTCTCGGGATTAGTTCTGATTCCATTTCCATCAACGATATGTCCAAGAAACAGTAGTGAGCTCTTGCCCCATTGGCATTTTTTTGGTGAGACTACTAACCTATGATCCTTTAAAATTTGAAATACTTGTTTGACATGTTCCAGATGTTCTTCCTGTGACCTAGAGAAAATAATAACATCATCTAAGTAAACTAATGCAAACTTGTCAATGACGTCTCGCAGGATGTCGTTCATCATTTCCTGGAAGGTCGCCGGTGCATTACACAATCCAAAAGGCATTACTGACCATTGGAAATGACCCTGACGGCAAGTGAACGCGGTTTTTTCTTTGTCTTGAGGGGCCATGGCAACGATGGGCCGTTGCGATACGTTGCCCGCAACGGCTCGTTGCGGGCAACGCAACGGTTGAATATCAATACTTTAGTCCCACAACGCAACGGGCAAAGGCAACGCCCGTTGCGCTGCGCGCAACGCAAACCGTTGCTTGGTTGCTTAGCATTGTGTGTCGTGCGTGTGAGGGATCTAGCGAAGTTTGATGGAAATCACTTGTAGAAGCAGGGAGGGTCCAGGGATATCTGAGATATCCCTGCGCCCGTGCCGGGGCCATGCCTGTTTGCCCGTTGCGGGGTTGCGTTGCTCACAACGGGTCGAGAACCGCAACGCAACCGTCTGTAATCCCGGACCTGTACCAGCAACGCACCGAGCAACAGCCTGACTCGTTGCGTTCCGTTGCGTTGCTGGTGTCTCGCCGTTGCTCGCCGTTGCTGTGCGTTGCTCAGTCAAAGCAACGCACCGGCCCAACGTTGGCCATGGGGACCTGCCAAAAACCGGACTTAAGGTTGATTGTCGTAAAACACTTTGCACCAGACAAAAATTGGTAAGCGTCATCAATCCGTGGGAGTGGATAAGCATTTTTTCGAGTTACCTTATTCAACGCTCGGTAGTCAACACATACACGTGTTGAACCGTCGGCCTTCTTTACAAGTAATAAAGGAGAGCTCCAAGGGGAGTCCGTTTTCTCAATTATTCCTTGTTCCAGGCCCTCTTCCACAAATTGCCCGATTAGTTGGTGTTCAGGTGGAGTTAGGGGCCTTCCGTGTGTTTTAATTGGGTTACAGTCTCCGGTGTCGATGAAATGTTTGTGCTTCCGTTCCACTTGTCTGATATCTTCTTCAAAGCACTCAGGTGCAGTGTCACGGGCGATTTTTTCGAGGATACTATGCAATCCTCCCAACGCCATCGTGTACAGGTCGTTTCTGCTTGGTTTAGGGATGAAGTTATAGCAACGTGAGTCCCTCTCGATTTCATACTCCATGTTATCGAACTTGATCTTGGGTTTGTGTTCTTTGAACCAAGGCATGCCTAGGATCAGTTCTACGTTGGGTAGTGGAAGTACGTAAGCTTTGATGGTGAATCTAAAGAAACCGCCGTTGTTGCAGTTGTCGATTTCTAGCTCAAAAGTGGCTGTGTTGGTCGACGTTTCGTGGGCACCATTTGCCAACCTCACCTTCTGTCCGTCGGTTTCTTCAAGTTTTATGCGGTTAGGGTTTAGGTCCAACATCCTTTTAAGCTTGTGTTCAGAGATATAGTTTGCGGCTGCTCCTGTGTCTAGGATCGTTGCCAGTGGGTAGTTCCTGAAATGGCTAGTATACGTTGGAAGCGACGAGTTCGAGTTGCTCTGTGTCGCTAGGTCTACGATGTTCAAGGATAAAGAGTGTCCTTCGTAGATCTCGCCTTCTTCCAGGGATAGAATGGCTTCGCCGTCGTATTCTCCTAGATCCTTAGGTCCACTAACAGCAAATCCGGTCCACCTCGGCCTCTTTTTGTTATGCCCCATGATTCTGTTCCAGGTTTCCACATGTTCTAACTCTCGTTCTCCCAGTTCTTCTCTATCTCGTTCTTGTATGGGAGAGTGAAATGGGGTGTTGGTGAAGCCGAACCCGTCAATTCTTCTACCATCTACTTCTACGTCTGGGTAGGGAGGGATTTTCTCACCTAGAGGTAGGAGATGTAACTCTTGGATGTCTGAGTTGTTGGCGGACGTCTGTCTTTCTTGGGTTGGAGAGGCCGGTGAGAATGGCAAGTTGGACATGTCAATGTTCGAGATTTCGGCCTGGTTTGTTGGTGAATATTCGGGACTAGGGAGTCCTAGATAATTGGAGTATCTAGACGTGAGCGGTGGACTAGCATTAACAAGAATGGGTTTCTCTCTTGTTCCTTCTTCTTCGGATTCTTCTTCCAGCGGTCTCTTCATGATGTTATTGACTTGTTCAGCATCTAAATTAAAATAATCAATGCCTTTAGAGACTGTTTCGGGACTATCTTCGTTCCCAAAGATACAACATGACTTACAACATCGGTAGGACAGATCTTCTGCCTGATCTCGAAATAGCCTGGTTAGTGTCTCTCGTTCCTTCTTGAGTTCTTCCTGATACTCGGGATTATCGAGAGTTTTCTTGTAGGCTTTGACCTTCATAGCGAGGTCTTCTCTTCCGTCGACGCCGGGGCCGTCGAGGCTAGAGGAAGATTCCTTAGACGACTTAATCATTGTCCCATCGGGTCCGAGGAAAGGAGTCGTCTCTAGTTTCGGGGAGCTTTCTTGATCCATGTCGATTAGCAAGAGGCTCTGCTTACGCCGATCTCCTCCTGAGTAATTGGGTTTCTTGAAGCTCGGTTTAAAAGGTTTCCTCGTGTTGGTACAATCTCTAGCGAGGTGGCCGTGTCCATGGCATTTGAAGCATTCGGTCTGTGATGTTACTTGAGTAGTTTTAGCTTTGTCCATTAAGTCTAAGTCCATGGGTCCGGACGTATTAGTTACTGCGGGAGGTCTTCCGAAGTTAGACGGTCTGTGGTAGTTGCTTCGAGTGAAGGGACGGCTGAATTTTTGATCAAATACCCTTTTATTTTCGGGCGCCTTGAAAGTTCGGTTGTTTACTTTATTGTTTTGGTCGCGTTCCCTGGCGGCAGCGAAGATGAGTTCCATGTCTTCTTTTTCTACAACTTCAGGTCTATTGGCCCATTCTCTGATGTTTGCCGGAAGTTTGTCTAGGAAGGCGAATTTTCTATCAAGGAAACCGAACTTATCTAAAGGTATTTGGCAGGACAATTTGCGGAATCTTAAGATGTAGTCATGTATATCATTTCGGTAGTATAGTAATTTAATTTTTTCTCTTATCTCGTCCATGGTTAAACTGAAGTTATATTTTTGGAGGAATTTGTTCCTGAATTCTTGATAATTGTTTATGATTCCTCCGGTGGCGTTTCGTTCCGAGAGCCAATACATTTTCGATTCTTCGTCTAGGTAGGCTCCTATCATCTCTCCCCATTCGGTCTCAGGGTAGTGATGGATTCGGAAGTTTGATTCTAGCTCGAGTAACCATAACTCGGCGTTATCGCCATATCCTTCGAATTTGCGTGGTTCTCCTCGAAAGGCGTCGGGTTTCTTGGTATAGTTATGATTGGGGTTGTTTTGCAGTTGTTGGAGGATGTTCTTAGTGTCAGCGAGTTCTAGAGCTTGTTGTTGGTAAGCTTGCTGATACTGTTCTCTGAGCTCTGAGAGAGCTTGCGCGTGAGCCTGCGCGGAGTTCTGAGCGTTGATGCTGGTCTGTTGGATCTGGGCTCGTAGGACTCTGATGTCTTCGGCCGGAACTTGGATAAATCCACTGTGTTCGTCCATTTTGAAGTTTTTTTTCTACGTATTTGAGATGGTGTTTGTTTTATTAATATCTTTCGCGAGACTTGATCAGAGTCTCTATCAGGAATATACGTACGGGTTGTAAGATTAAAATCTTTTTTTGCTTGATGATACCTTAAAAGGTGATGCGTGGTGTTTGCTGGTTTGTTAGTTATGTATCTGGGCTTCCTTGAGTCTAACTAATCGAAGGAGGGTCAGTCGATGGAGTAGGTTCGAATAACTAGCTAGGGAATTCGAGAGTTACTTACGACTTTGAAATATCAACTTGTGAAAAGGTAGTGCTGGTTGGTTGTTTGGGATCGAGTTTTTTTGTTGGTACTGGTAAGCACTGGGTGATGGAGTGGGATCACAGGTTAATATAGGATTGTCTTCGATTGTGGTGGGAAAAGGTGTTAGAGAAGGAAAAGGTTTTACTAACGAATAATTATTTGTTATGTTCAATAGAGGATCGGTGCGGTGATTCTACTGAGAAGCTGCTTGGTGTTCATTCCTGGAGCAAGGAGAGGACGCCTTATATAGGCGTCCGTCTCTACAAAGTACTAATAAGGAAAATGGGAAGGGAATGACAACATGATAGTCGGTGAGATCTAACTATGGCCGGATCCGATGTGAGAGGATCCGGTCTACAACAGTGGGAGGACAAATCCGGCGAGGATTTGTCAAAGGAGGACATTTGGAAAAGCGCACAAATGTCTTCAAAAGCGTATTACAAAAAAGAGAGAGGAGACAAAGGGAAACAAAAGAAACGGGGTATCACATTTCCTATTTTTATTGCTTTGCAAAGAACCGTCTTTTATCCAAAACACTACTTTGTAAACCGGATCCAGATGTACCGGATCCGGATACCTCTTGTCTCGACAACTATTGTATCAAGGCAGTTCACCCTTGCTTCCTGACCAACTCTCACATTTCCTTATTTGTATTCTGTCACGAGATGTACGCGTATATAAACCGCTCCATCTCCCTAAGAAATGTAATCCTCAAGTTACTTCCTATTCACTTTTCGCCCATAAACCGTGAGTGGATCACACACGCACATTGATTGCATTGGCATTTACCAGATCATCAACAACAGCGACATATGGGGCAGAGTATCCCATTGCCTTTACGGAAACGAATTTCGAGGCTTGACCTAGTGAGTTTTTTTTGCGTAGAAATAGGTATCATATAAATTAGTCAAACAATTAACGAGAGTGGAGTGACGCGAGTTGATGCTCAAAACCTTCACTTACGATCTCTTTTTGATGATGGGAGTAACCTCGTCCTCTACAGATCGTCGTTGTAGGACTTCACCAGTGACACTGAGATCAAGCAAGTCATGCGTTAGATAAAGTCTCTGAGAGCGGCTGCACAACACGGAGAAAGATGTCAAGACTTTGCTCACGTTTGGTCAACTTGGACGGGGCTGGCAGAGATCGTGGCTGTAAGAAATGATAGAGGATCGAGTAAGATTAAATACAAATGGAGATATGGATTAGTGTCTAGGAATTTACTGACCTGCTAGAACAGCAGCAATGATGATTTTGAAGAAAAGCATGACAAATTCTTTAATAATTGTTGAGGAATGAGACAGGTTTGATGGGATATTTCAAAAAGAAGATCGTGAAGTGTGTTCAGAAATACCAGGGTACATATATCTCTGATTTGAACTTCTGTGAATCAGGTAAAGGCGGTGAAGTGGGAAGTTCTGGAAAAATTGAGTGTACTGTGTAACTTAACAAAGTCCCTCAAGGCTCGACACAACAATTGAATCAGATTGGGTGATGATGGCAGTGGGAGACGAGGTGTCAAGTGGAGAAATCTAAGCTTAATCGTGTTTGATGTTCTAAGTATCAAGCGAGGGGGATGTGTCCAGCGGATACGACCGACTCTGACCGGCTTTATGTGATACTACTTAATAGTGTGTTGTTCATGATCTAGGATCCGCTGACACTCTCTCACCGCTCCACAACTACCTTGACGCAGTCACAGCTCGTTCAGGGCTCACTTTTACCTTGTAGAATGAGCTCTACAGGGGGTCAGCGCCTCCCTACGTCTCCTTCTCCATCTACGACGATGTAGCCGTGCCAAGACTCGTTGTATTCCCTCTCAACACATTATCACCTAGCGCTCTAACCTAGACACGCTTGTTCCCTCAACTTCTTCCACACAAAGTAGAGAACCACCCAACCAACCATAAATAAATTATTTAGACCCAACAATTACAAATTTGCTTCCGGTTCGCTCATTTTAGGTATTTTTAATAACGTGAGCTTGGATGAAAAGGACGCAGCCTGGCACAGCTATAGTATTACTATTAGTGAGCAACAAGAAGATTGTAACGTATGAGCCAACACCAATAAGTTGGATTCCACAAGTGTGTTCAGATTGCAAGATACCGGGATATATCTCTGATTTGGACTCTTGTGAATCAGGTAAAGGCGGTGAAGTGAAAAGTTCTGGAAAGAATAAGATGAGAATATCAGGATGTCAGATATAAATAGTTTGCGCTTGAAGTGTACTATAGAAGGTGGTGACAAAGTAGAGTCCGATAGTCAAGAATAGAAATTGAGCTTTGGAAGTGATGGTGGCGGTGAAGGACGAGATAAGTAAAGTGGAGAGGTCTGACCAGCTGAACACCTAGCTCAGAATCTATGGTTATATGCGTGACAATTTTGAATCCAAGGTTATCTTCACTCGGAGAGCAAATGAGATGAATTTGTTTGGAAGATTGTTGTCATCCATGCTAGGCTATACAGCATATTTAGAGAGCTTTTCATATCTCATTTGATTGACCGCATCTCAAAGATATCATGTTATGATCTGCTGAGAGTCAGACGGACAATAATCCTCCAACCGTCAACTGTGGTCAATTTGTTCACCTTGATGACATGCCACAATCTGTCTTGAAACAATTTACCTTCCATCTTAATCATGAGTTGAATGATACTTTGCCAGCTGGGTCCGGGATGACTGCTGAACAAGCTGAGAGGATGAGGGCTATGCAGATTTGAACGCAGGACCTTAATTTTTGGTGAAAGGAACCCCTTTTCCGGGGAGATGGGCAAATGACCGACCCGATGTTTGGCCAATTCAAAGTGAAAGTCCAAATCCGATTGTTGATGTGAAATCCCAATCGATCTGAAACATCACCAAGCTATATGTATGCGCCATTTCATCAATCCACTTTAAATGAAGTCTTTCAACAATCTTGAACCTTCAACTCATATACTCAATCGAAGTTTCAGTGCTGTGATATCATCTATCATTCAAATCAATCAAGCACACATCTTTACAATGGACATCATCGGTGCTATTGACCTTGGGCGTATCGCTAGTTCAACTACAGCCGAGCTTATCAACAAAATCATCACATCATAAACTCAATGACGGACAAGATTGGCTGAAAGGGCTCATCGCGATCATTTGCTCGTGTTTATCCTCTGGCCTGGCTGGATGTTATTTTGAAAAGGCTCGTCAAGGATCGTGAAACCACACCGAACATTGAGAAAGAAGAAACAAAAGTGATCAATCCTAACACACCAACCGCTCGCCCG